CAACACATGCCTATATTCTTTAGTTTAGGACCAGCATGAAGAACATACTGAGTCCCAAACTCCTTAAAAAATATATTACTCCAAGGAGAGCATTGTGGCACACACCTTTATCTCAACATTGGAGAGACAGAGGCAAACGTTCTGTGTGAGTTCAAGGACAGCCTGGAGATGAGCCAGAGCTATATAGTGAGAACATATCTCAACATAAAATTATGTATGTATATGATTACATATTATATATGCACATACATACATCATATGTAGATACATGCATATCTAATACAATATACATTATATCCACAAAAATACATAAATGCATAAATACATTTATATGTAAGTTATATATACATATATGCACATATGTTCACACATATACATACACATGATATATATTATAAAGCATGCGTGTGTAATACCTGTTTATTTTTATATGTATTATATATAATTTTTTTAGGCAGCCAGCAAAGTACATGATAGGAACATTGTGCCTTGTCCATAATTAACACAGGAGGGCCATCCACATGTTTGGCCACAACTTTAAATTTTGTTAGTATGACAGAGTATTTCTCATATAACAATGTCTGTTATTTGATTTTTCCCTATCATTTTGTTTATTTAGCAAACATACTGACTAAAGAAAACAGACTACTGAGACAAAGTCAGGAATGGGGGATGTGCCCTTTACTCCCAGCTGTATTGAAGGCTGAAGCAGTATTGTATGAACACAAGACTTCAATCAGCCTGGGCAACAAAGCCAGACTTCTGACTGCATGTTTTATTTCTTTTTCATATTTATAAAGAAACTACACTTCTTTTAAAGTTTGGTATTTATGCTGCAGAAGGTGTATTTATCGCTGTGTAGGTGATCAGGTGCTTTCTATATTATTTATTTTCTCACAGTAGTTCCTAGATTTCTTTAAGGGGGTAGTTATCAAAGATAAAAAGATTACTAATAACGTTCAGTTTCAATGAGATCATTTCACTAATGAATTTTTACTTTGAATAATTACATTCATCAGCAGCATAGCAAAGTGTTTGGATCATGAATACAGAGTCCTCACCAATGGGCTAATATCACCTTGCAGGAGTGGTTCCTCTCTGAGGGAGAACCATATAAGTTACTGGTAGGGCAAACTATTATCAACTAAATTTGGTTTTAGCTTTCTCACTTCACATCTGTCTTCAATACACTTCTGTTTGTTCTTCCATTCTTTGGCAATGCATAGAGCAGCCCATGACCCTAACTAAAAGCCAAGTATATAACTTCCAGAGTCAAAACCTTTCCTTATGTTATTCAGTCTCCCCTCTCCCCTACCCTCTTTCTTTATCTCCCCCTCCCTCCTCCCTTTCACATACATATATTTTAAAGACAGGGTCTCACTATGCAGACCTGGCTGGCCTGGAACTCACTGAGATCCACCCGTCGCTGTTTCCCAGGTACTAGCATTAAAGACATATGCCACCATGGCCAGCGCTTAAGTATTCTTAATAGCAAGAGAAAACAGACTTAAGATACTTCAAAGCCAACATTTAAAGGATACCCCCACACTACCAAAGGGTAGCTTACATAGCTTCTTTTCCCCAGAACTATCTATTGTTCCTGAAAGTTCTACCTTACTGATGGTTTATTATAATCTTACCAAGACTCCTAGACATAATTTTCTCATTAATTTCTAGCTAACCAGTTTCAAAGTATCACTTATTACTACCATTATTGTCATTATTTTGATTCTTTTGTAGTGCTGGAGACATAATCCATAGTACTAGATAAGACAAGCAATCTACCCCAAGCCCAAATTCCATTCATTCTACTTCATGAAGATTTTTAAAATTTACTCATTTCCCACTCCTACTGCCTTAGATTGGATTTTTCATTGTCTGTTACCTGGATTATTACAATAATTTCTTGTATGTTCTGACTCTCTTCAATCTTTATCTTCTATTTATTTATCTATAATATTGTCCAAATGAACTTTCCAATATGTAAATCTGGCTATTATGCTGAATTTTCCAAACTGAAATAATTTCCATAGCTCTGATCACTTAAAGAATCAATGGTGGCACATCTTAAATCCCAGCACATGAAGCGGAGTCATGTGCACGGACCTCTGAACATTCCAGGCCAACCTGGTCTACATAGAGAATTCCAAGCCAGCCAAGACTAAAAGTGAGACCCTATCTCAAAAAAATAAAGCCCCCCCAATAAAAAACTCTGACCAAATATTGATACCAATAAAGACAGTATGACTTCATACACTGCATATAAATGACAATGAGTAAAGACAACATATATAGAATATGGAGGTATATATGAAACATTCCTCCAAACAAATACACAATTGCAAATCTAATGAAAGCAAATAACTAGCCACAAAGAAGGAAAGGGGAAAGTACTACAAACTGGGAAATCATATTTTTTGAGATTGACACTTAAAGGATAAGTAGAAATTGTTTATCAACAACAACAAAAAAGCAGTTTGGGAGTGGGAACAGTGCGTGTAAGATAACCAAGAAGGAAAGGAGCTCCGAGTGTTAGCAGACTGGAGGCAGGCTCCTTGATAAGAACACAGCAAGTGAGCACAATGTTAGCAGACTGAAGGCTACTAGGCAAGACACAGTGATGAGCAGAGTGTTAGGAGACTGAAGGCAACTTGGCAAGAACACAGTGAAGGAGCAGAAAGGCCAAAAGTAAGGTTAGAGAGATAAAGAGCAGTGCCTTATAAGACGTGGTATGAACTTCACTAGTTTTCAAGGGTTAAAAGTAACTTTAGATGATGTTAGATGACACACTTTTCAAAGGTTCACTCTGTCTGCTAGCTAGTAAAGAAGAGACCGTGTCTTGAAGAGACATGAGAAAGTTATTACTTTAGATGAGAAGCCATAGACTGGTGACAGGCAGGCTGTCTTAACTTCTAAAGTACAGTTTATCTTCAGATAACACACATTGCCATAGGTAAGCCTATGTGCTTAGGTCATTTCCCATTATTAGGCCACTTCTGTTATCACAAAACTACATGTGCAGTGGCCATTAACAATGAAGTTTCTGCTGAACACAACTGATATGTGATCTCATACAGTCTCTCCGGAGGTTACAGGACTACACGGCAAATTGTATTACATGGCCTCCAAAACAAAGAGCCTCCTACTTACTATCTCTAGGCCAGACAACCTCACTAAATGGCATCACCATTCACTCAAGCACTGAGGCCAAAACTGGGGAAGATTCTTATATCCCCAAACCATATATAAATGAAGTATCAACTAAATAGGTATAATATTTAATATAAATCTATAGAAATTATTCTATATGGTTAAGTAAACATTAATCTGGCTATTGTGTAATATAATGTCATAGTATAATTGTATACCATTTTATTATTCTGTATAAAGATAAAACATGGTTAATCTTATTCTCAAATTCATTTGCTCTATTTTTTCTTCCTCCCCCACCCTATTTTTCCACATTGTATTTTGCTTGATTTTTTTTTTTTAATACAGATTTTCAATCTAACCCATGGCCAATTCTCCTGCATCAGTATTCTAAGTACTGGGATTAAAGGCAAAAACTACCATGCTTAGCTTTATTTTTTAAGAAAAGGAAAAAAACAAGAAAACAAAACACCTAACAACAATATATGTGTCATCAAAAAATTTACAAATAAATTATTTAAGACTGAAATTACAGACGTTTCTAATTTTTTTTAATTTAGTTTTTGAACATTTCTCTAGACAGTTAAAATTAGACCTATTTTACACCAGACACTACAGAAATATTAATTTCTTCACTTAGTCAACCACTGAGTCCTCCTACATATGTAACCTTTCAGCCTACCAAGTCTTACAGATTTCATGCTTATTCATAATTTTTTAAAAGAAATTTGCAAAGTCAAAGGGGTGAAATGGTTCAGTGGTAAAGGTGCTTGCAACCAAGCCTGACCCGAGTTCAATCCCTGCAATCCTTTCAGTAGAAGGAAAGAACTGACTCCTGAAAATTATCCCCTGATCATTATGCAAGGTTGTACCATGACATGGACCCCTGACATACACACATGCCACATAAAATATATAAATAAATAATTAAAGTTATTCTTTGCTACTTAATATCACTAACATTATATCACATAGAGAATACTGAGTTGCTATTATAAGCTCTTTGCCTTAATTCTCAAGACAGTGCTATAGCTTCTTACAGTTTTCCTTTCTGCATTCATCTTCTCATGTACCTCTTTTTTGTCAGAATGTTGTGTTTTTCCAATTCCTCTCTGCACTGTATCAGATCTGCTAGGAATAAAACTTGACCAATAAACCTGTGACTGCATCTAGCTCTCCACAGTCTTTTCTACTTCAAAAACAGTACCAGTGGAAGTTCAAGAGGTTTTCCCTGCTGACTGGATATCTCTGGGTTTTATAAGCATACAGCTTAAAGTTAAAAGTATCAGACCTGAGTGGGGTGGCGACATGCCTGTAATCCCAGAACTCAGGAGGAAGGCAAACAAAGCCCCCTGCAGTTCAAGGTCAACCTGGGCTACACATAGAACCTTGTCTCAAACAAAACAGACAACCACCTTATCTTGAGTTTCACCACCAGTTAAGTATGACATAAAAACCAAGCGTCACTGCCATAGCAACCTAGTAATATAGAATATTACTATGCTCAAATTAGCTTTTATATGAACAGTGGGGCAATATGCTAACCTTAACCACAGTTCTATATGATTTTATGGTCTATAGCTATAATAAAAGTTGTATCTTATTAGAGGGAGAGACTTCAAAATTGTTATAAAATGTTGAAGGCAGAAATGAGCTTACACAGAACATAATTTGTTCAGGCCACAAGAGCCCTTTGTGCACAATACCACACAAGACAATTCAGTCCATAAAATACTGACTGAAGACCATAATCAAGATGATATGCTAAGCAAAATCAAGAAAGAACTTTGTTTATGCATTGCAATAAAACTATGGATGGATGGGCATAGCGCATCTCCTGTAGCACGCACCCTGTTGCTCATCAAGTGACATGGATCCGAGCTGTTTGTTAACCACAGAAGAAGGAGAATCTGAAACAAAAATGAGATTTCAACTTAAAAGTAAGCAGCAGAAAACTGCACAGCAATGTTACGATAATCTCTAAGCTTAAGAAACAAATGTATAAGGGCGGGGAAGAGGAGTAAGTAGTGTGGTGTGTTTCCCAAGCAGTGAGTAAGCAGGGTATGTGCTCAGGGTGTTATTCCAGGCAAGCATTTAGCAATCCTGAGAATGAGTTGAAAATCTACTTTCATGCACATATCTCTAATCAAATTCATCTAGCACCAATATAAGGTGCTAGATAGATAATTAGAAATCGTATTTCCTCTAGACAGAAGATGTCTTGACTTTCTTAAATTCCCTCACCAGCTCTTAAGGTGGCTTTCATCCTGCCTTGGGAGTTTCAAAGCATGAAATGAGATGCTCACTGGACTGTGTGAGATGCTGTATGCTATACCATGAGCTGAAGGAGTTGGGATGTTTAACAACAAAGAGTGGTTTGTAGGGAAAATAGTCAATGAATTAAATACCTTTAAAGAAACATGTAACTTTAAAAACTCTATGGTACATTGTGCATAATGAAACTATACTCTGTGAAAGCTTAGGCTTCTTTATACAGGTACCTGGTAGAAAGAGAAAAGCAAGAAAAAAGCTTAATGGTCTGTGCTTTCTACTTTCTACTTTGGTGTTAAACAATACAACTTTATTTTGATCTTTTGGACACACTGGGTCTTCATGTGAGAATTTATTTCATTATTGGGTTCTAGTTTTTAGAAAACACTGAAGGAAAAAAAGGGAGGGCTGAAATGGAAAAGCCATTTGCCTGGTGTTAGCAAGTCTTAATTCTGATAATCAGCAACATCTTTAGGCAGATTCTTCTTTCTCCCTATCAGCCCAGGGTTACAGTACCTGTACCTTAACAAAAGTACTAGAGAATGCAAGTTATACATCCCTGTCTAAAAAACATAAAATTTAAAAAAAACTGAAAATGCTACAAAATCCAAAATGTTTTGAGTGCTGATAAGGCACAATGGAAAATCTTATCACTAATCTCCTATGGTAGAATGTAGTCAGAATATAGATACACCAAAATTTCACCACTAATCTATGATAGAATGCAGCCAGAATATAGATACATTAAAAGCACTGCATAAAATTACCTTGATGTTTGTATCAAATATACAGAAAGCAAAAAGGAACTTCCTGTTTTGCCCTGAGTACTTCTGCTAGACACCTTATGCAAATATTCCCCCAAACGTGCTACTTCTGATGCCAAGCATTTTTGGACAAAAGATACCTAACATAGAGAAGCTCCTGTGCCCCAGTAGAGCTGTTACAGAAAAAGGGAAAAGTGTGGGTAACAAACACAGCATCACATCAAATGTGAAAATGGTCCCTAATTTCTAAGACCCTTTACTCTAGTTCTCAGTCAAAGTTGATAACCAGGCCTGTCTCACTTATTGCCAGCTGTGTTCATAATTGTATTTCACGTCCTCCAAACAGGTGTTAAGTAATGATCATCCTTTGATTAATAGTAAGTGAAATTCCCCAATACATCCTGGTTTCATACCAAATTCACACCATTTGATTGCTTCCATTTGTAGTCTGAGGCCTGCTACCAGCATCTTTCTATTAACCTTAAGTCTTCCATCTTCTAGCATCATACCAGTTTGCTCAAAGACTGATAAACTACAACATATTTTCTAAAGTCTGAAGCTTTTATTCATCCTTACCTATCATTTCCTCACCAGAATAACTGGTTAAGAGTCTTTACTACACAAGAAGGAAAGTGGGAATGGTAGCGTTTATTGGTTCCTTAATCTACCATACTTTTCTCTTTAAAAAGATTTCTCACTGATTCATTTTAGATCTAACACTGCCACCTGCATTATTTTGGGAAAATAGGCAATTAAGTCTTTAGAAATAAAGTTACAATTTTCAAAGCAAAATCAAAACCAAAACCAATTAATTAAAGATTGGAAAACCTCCTTAAGAGTCTTTTACAGAATACAGTTCATCCCTCCGGATTTCATTACACATTTCCCTATGTTCTCCTTTAATAATTAAAAGTTCCAAGATAACACTCAGGTCACTAAGAAATGCACTTAACAAATAATTGTTTTTATACATTACGGAATGCATAAATCTTCTTGAAGTAAAATGTATCTTGTTCTTTCAATTAAAACTTAGAAAGTATCACTAAAACCCACTAATGAAGATCTTCAATGCTATCATCTCCATAAAACTGTACTTAAGTTTTCCAGCATTTAAAATAACAAAGCTTATGTTAAATCAACAACAAAACCCCATGATTAACTAAAAAATTTTCTTTCCTAAGAATTAGAATTGTTATCCTTACGTTCTTAAAATTTTTCAAATTACGTTTTTATTTTGTGTACTAGTCTATTGTGTGTAGATATGCACATGCTATTGATAGTTCATATGTGGAAGTTAGAAGACAACTTGTGGGAGTCAATTCTCTTCGCCATGTATGTCCTTAAGATTGAACTCCAGTTGTCAGGCTTGGTATCAGGGCCTTTACCCACCCACTGAGCCATCTTCTGGCCCAACATCTTTTTGTTTGTTTGTTTGTCTTTTGAGACAGGGTTTCTCTGTGAAACAGTCCTGACTGTGCTAGAACTCACTGTGTAGACCAGGCTGGCATTGAACTCACAGAGTCTCTGCCTTCTGAGTACTGAGATTAAAGGTGTGCGCCACCACCACCCAGCTTAGGCCAACATCTTTTAAAGGCTTTTTGGCTTTTAACTTTATTTACATTCTTGGGAACATGCAACTCCTTTTAGGATTATTATTTTCCTATAACATAAATATGTTAAGTAACATGCTTTTCTAATACTAAGTATTCATAAATGCCTATAACTCCTGTTACAGAAATATTTCCAAATATTAACACAACAACCAACAGAATAACAACAAAACTAAGAAGCTTAAACTCATCACTGCAACTGTTTGTATATTCTACTCCATATTTCTGTGAAATATTTCAGAAGGCATCATTACAAAATAAAAATCAGAATATATGGTCCACTACTAATGTCAATATGGTAAGCCAACATATTTAACGTATTTTAAGTTATATTATTTTAAAGGTAGAAATAAATGTTAAGCAAAGTTCATCAGATACTAAGCTCAACATATGTAGTAGTCATTTACTGTGTATTTCTCCAAATTTGCAGTTTGGTAATGAGAAAATCCTCTAGTCCTTTAACACCAGAAATTTTTAATTGTAGAAAAATAAAAAGTTATAATCTAACATATAACAAGATTTCTTCAGCCATATTTCCTGGGTTTGAATAGCTTTTCACTCACTAATATTGTAACCCTGGGCAAGTTATTTCAATCGTTTCAAGTCTCATTTCTAAATCTATAAAAAGGGATGCAGTATTCTTTTAATGAGATGACCTCTGTAAGCTACGTAACATATAGGCAAAAGTCAGTTCATGTAACCACTACCTCCCTGTTTTTCAGAGTTATGGTACTGACTGAAAAAGAATGATGGAAAATTGTCTTCAAACTATGCAACGTATATTAATTACAGTTTAAAGTCCTAAGATTCACTACTTTTCCTCAGGACTCTAACAGTTAAGGTAATTAACAAAGCCTTGCATAATTAGATCAATGTCATGTCTGATTTATTAATGCACAAAGGCTAAAACATGAACCAATGCATCCATCTCAGAAGTACTACCCTGGTTGTCATTGTGAGCATTGTGGGGAAGCTGACAATAAATAGGGCCTGCTTGCACAGGACATGTTAAATGCTGATTTTTTCCAATATGGCTCAGTTTTGAAAAGCCCTTTTTCAAAAATAATCATCAATGTTTTATACCCTTTTGGGGGTATAAAAGTCACTTTTTATCCAATTGGCAAAACCGTGCCATAAAGTGAAAAAACAGTTCCTACCTGACCCTCTCTAGGCTGGCTCCATGCTCCAGTGGGGCTCTGTGGTGGTTGGGCCAGTACCAGTAGAATCCACAGGGTGTTGTCACTCTGAGCAGGAGCCAGCAACCCATGACTTCAGGGGACCTGAAATGGAAAAAAAGACCTGGGCTTTAAATGAGTCATATACTGAATGCCTTTGTTGCAGCTATTTAGGGCATTCATTTGATAAATGTACAAACAGCTCATTCAGAATCCTCACTGCTGTCTATCTTCAATGGTCTTGATATGAAGACATTGTAAAGAAGTAAAATACACTATAAATAAGATGGTATTTGCTTACAAGCCTTAAGAATTATAAATTTGGGGAGGGTGGAAGTGGAGAAAGGAGGACAGAGGGCAGCAGGGAGGAGAACATGAAGGAAAGGAATGGGTGAGTTGGGGGAAGGACAGAGAGAGAGAGCACGGACAGAAATATCTTGATAGAGTCATTATGGGATTATTGAGAAATCTGGCACTAGGGAAATTGCCAGGAATACACAAAGATGACCCCAGATGAAACTCTAAGCAATAGTGGAGAGGGTGCCTGAACTGGCCTTCCCTTGTAATCAGATTAAGGACTACCGTAATTGTCATCATAGAACCTTCATCCAGTAACTGAGGGAAGCAGATTCTGAGGTCCACAACTAACCACTGGGCTGAGCTCCCGAAGTCCAGTCAAACAGAGGGAGGAGTGATAATATGAGCAAAGAGGTCAAGACCACAGAAACAGCTGGCCTGGGCTAGCTGGAGCTCACTGAAATCAGATTGACAGCTGGGGAACCTGCATAGAACTGAACTAGGCCTCCCGAATGCAGGTGACAGTGGTGGCTTGGGCAGTGTGTGGGGCCAACTGGCAATGAGACCTCGATCTATCCCTCCTTCATGAACTGGCTTTTTGAAGCCCATTTCCTATGGAGAGACATCGTGTTCAACCTAGACACAGTGGGGAGGGCCTTGGTCCTGCCTCCCACATGGTGATGGGACAGACCTGATTCCAGATGGGAGGCCTTACCCTCTCTGAGGAGCATATGGGGGATGGGGGCTGAGAAGGTGCAGAGAGTGGGAGGAGGGGAGGGAGAACAAGGATTGG